ACAAGGACCGGATGATCCCAGAAGCTGCAGTAAGTGTTGATTACATCTCCTTCTTCTTCCACCTTTAGGTCTAATCACTCGAGCCGGTAATCAAGAAACCAGATTAATTTTCGGATACTATTTATTGAGACAGATTCAAGATCAGCCCTTCTATTTGTTCTCTTTTTGTTCCTTTTCTTTCCGAAGATTTATAGACGTTTTGAGAGATTGAAATCCCTGCCATTTCTTGTGCAATTTCCTGACGAGGATTTGATGATTAGAGGATGTAACAAAAACTATTCTTTCTTGTTCTTCATTCGTTGTTATTTTTACCCTCTTACTATCGGACGTCATAATCCGTGGAATAACACATTAATCGATGGTACTCATTAATCCGCGACCAATTGCTTTGCATGCATTCTGTAACACATTAATAAAAATGCTCTCTCAAGTGATCGTTGGAAGAGTCAGAGACGTTCCTATCAAATTAAATGAAGGGCACAGAATTCCTCTCTATGCCAAGTAGAAGACTTTGACCGAATAACTACTCTCACAGTAGCCTTCCATCCGCTTCAATGTTGTTCTCTTCTTTTCTTACTGATCTTTCTATGTTCACATGAAGTTCTTCTTGTTTTCCAAGTCTTCTTGATGGCTACAAGGTTGAAGATGTCAAGTAGACTTGGTCTTGACACAAATGAGTCGTGAGGATATCTTACATAGCTTGTCTGCTACTTCTCTTGACCTCTCTCTCTGGTTGTGTGTGACTGTGTGTTGGGCGTGTCAACCAAGTCCTCGTAGAAGTATACTTTCTGACCAAGAGAAACACATAATAAGTTAGAGATGACAATAGCTGACACCTAAAATTCCAGTTTAGGTCTAAACCATTAGTTTAGTAGCATGATTTATCGGACTCACTTATCGGATATTAGAATTTAAAATCTTGTTTCATAAGTTTTCTTCGAAAATGTCCGTTCAACAAGCTAGTTTAGATCGACAAGAACGTCCTGAGATCGATCTCATCTTTACTATCTATTTACTGTAAAAAAGAATGTCTGCTAAGCTCGTTATGTTATGTTTATGGATATCTTGCAACTCCTCCGGGAAATGACAGTGGTCATTCTAACACAGGAAATAACCATCGGAAGCAGATCATCATCGGTAAGAATCTAATTATTCTTGAACTCGTCCACTCTCGTCTATGGAGTCAGATTCTCTGTAGAGCAGGAAGCCATGAGGTCGTACCTTGTTATCTGCTATGAGATTGTTGCTGTGGAACAGGAGTTTGCGTGGGCGTGGGTTGCTTGGCCGCGTTGAGCCTCCTCTGTTTGGTCTATGTCTGTCGCAGGAAGAGACCACAGCCTTCGGCTTCCTCCGTTCTTCTAGCTCGACCCGTCGCTTCCTCCGATCCGGAATCGGGCATTGAGCAGTACCACACCCAGGTTTTCACGTACGAAGAACTCGAGGCTGCCACGGACGGCTTCAGCGCCTCCAACAAGCTCGGCGATGGTGGCTTCGGCGCCGTCTACAAAGGTTAGTACTACTTAGAGAACTCTCTCTGCGCGGCCTTGTGAGATCACACGAGCCTCGTCCGCAGGGAAGCTCCTCGATGGACGCACGGTGGCCATCAAGCGGTTCTACAGGAACAACTACAGGCTGGTGGAGCAGTTCGTGAACGAGGCCTACATCCTCTCCTCCTTACGCCACCAGAACCTCGTCGTGTTGTACGGCTGCACCTCCCGCCACAGCCGCCAGCTCATCCTCGTGTACGAGTACGTCCCCAACGGCACCGTGGCGGACCACCTCCACGGCCCCCGCGCACGCGAGGCGGCCCTCGCGTGGCCCCTCAGGATGCGCGTCGCCATCGAAACAGCCGACGCGCTCAGCTACCTCCACGCCACCACCCCCCAGATCATCCACCGCGACGTGAAGACCAGCAACATCCTGCTCGACGCCGGCTTCCATGTCAAGGTTGCCGACTTCGGGCTGTCCCGGCTTTTTCCGGCCAACGCCACCCACGTCTCCACCGCGCCACAGGGCACGCCGGGCTACGTCGACCCCGACTACCACCAGTGCTTCCAGCTCACCGACAAAAGCGACGTCTACAGCTTCGGGGTGGTGCTGGCGGAGCTCATATCGTCGAAGCCCGCCGTCGATGTTACCCGGCAGCGGCACGATATCAATTTGGCCACCATGGCCATCAGCAAGATCCAAAACCAGGAACTGGAGCAGTTGGTGGATCCAACACTCTGGTGTCAGTCGAAGGGCGAGACAAGAACGATGATCGAACAGGTGGCCGAAGTGGCGTTCCGGTGCTTGCAAGCAGAGACGGAGATAAGGCCTACCATGAAGGAGGTTCTCGAGGCACTGAAAGCGATACAGGATGAGGGATGCAGCAGGGCGAAGGGTGTCGAAGCAGATGCCGCGGCTAACGATGAAGACTGCTTGCTGGGGGAGAAGCCATCACAGTCGCCTGATACCGTCACAGCAAACTGGGAAAGCAGGTCGACGACACCACACCGTAGTGGTTGATGATGAGGTGGTATTAAGGTGCTTAGGACGATGTTAATGTACCTATAAAGCTTAATGACTTGAACATAATCTACCAAGTTTCTGCTGTGTACTTCCAAGTATGCAGCAAAACATGAGGTAGATAGTAGTAGATATCAAGCAACGAGAAAGAGAATAAGATTGCACCAACACAATTATAATCAAATACAAAGCAGATAGAGATGAGTTTTAGACATTGTTTGCCCATGAAAGAGTTGATGCAGTCACCAATTCTACAATCTATAAGCAACAACTTAACATCGCCAAATTGGAATTCAATAGCAGCAGATATCAAAGACTTCAGCAGCTAGAGCAGGACACTAGTTGTTGGATCACCAACCCTGCATCATTCTGCTTTCTTGAGTTCCTCCTCAGGATCTCTGAGGGTTCCGAACATCCAATCCATCCATACGGTGTAGTGCCCATAGTTGTGCCGGTATGTAGTGTGGTGGATTGTGTGGTAGCCTGCACCCATAACTGGCCAGATCTTGCCATGAATGCAATCATGGATGTTCGCAGTCCAGACCGCCTCGCAGAACAGGAGAAGCATGTGAGTCATAAAATGGGTTGGGACGAGGAACAAAGCTATCACATGCGGCACGGCCTGCAGTATTCCGTCCAATGGATGGAACGCCAACCCTGAAAGAGAGAGTGAATCAGCTGCTGCCAGTTTCATGTTAGACTAAATAGCACAGTTGTGAAGCACACAATACGAAAATATCGTTAATTCGGAAAAAAAAAACATCATATAGTAAAAAGAACATACTGTTGAGAGTATTTAATTCTCTCTTCAGGCTAAATTGGTGTGAAACAACAACTTCTATATCAAATTATGCTGTATAAATCACTCATCTCATTCTAATTACAACAAACGTAAACTATGTAACATAATAAGTCACAAATCAGTTACAATAATAACCTATTTTATTAAATTTATATCACCTCTGTAAGTTCATATTGGTGCCAAAAATGAACACTCCAACACTGAATAGACAATGCCTTTATGGCACAAGAGCTGCATGTGTTGTCACCTTCCACAAAATTGATGAAGATAATACAATTGAACGGACAGTAGAGACTTACCAGCAAAAGGAGAGAGTGTGTTCTGCTTATTGTAGACATGATGGGTTGCATGAAGATACTTGTATAATGGTTTTATGTCATGCAACTCTCTGTGAGCCCAGTATATACCAAACTCGACAATGACCAGATACGTGATGAGGTAAACAGTGTAGGCCGGCCAACTAACTTCTCTTATGCTAGAAAAACATCTCGTCCATCCATTTTCAACCATGCATTCTGAAAGTGTCGGGAGAACACAGTACCAAGGCATTGCCTTCATTGCAACTATTATCTGTAGAATCATGGCTTTATTTGAAGGTATAGCATCTGCAAGAAAAGGCAATTAAAACAGATATTTGAGAACAGCAAGGTTCATAAGATATAGAAACTCATTATCACATAAACCTTAACAACCGGCCACAAACTCAAATAAAATGAATCCTTCCTTAGCATCCTTCTCCAAGATATAACTATTATGAATACCATGAAAAAAGTGAATTAATTCTCTGAATAAGTTACACTCTCAAAGGGAGTCAACTGAAGCAAACAACAAACTTGAACTGCTAGCTTTAAACCCCCTCCAAGTAGGGGAAGGCATCGATTAGTGTATTAAACAATTTTAGTAGCATATCCGTGGCATCACCAAATTGAATATGTGAAGATATTGGATCTGAATGATGTCCTCCAAATAATTCTCAGACATCATTCAAATGAACCGTACAAAAAAGAAGTTCTAAGGATGCCAGGGAGCTATTATATGCTGCTTCCAGCTAATGGGAAACATTTCCAATGTCAAAGTGATGCCAAACATTTGGCAATTTACATGCCAGAACATGATGGAGATGTACATAGCACTAAGGCAAGCAATTGTTAATTGCACACTCCATGGCCATTGCTTTGCAGGTGTAGCTCTGTGTTTGTGAGGAAAGTACCTCAAAGAAAGAAATATATACACTGTCATCCAACAAAATGAACGACGGGGTCATTTTCAGATCATTAGCACAAACTTTGGCCACAAATGTCCTTGTATCCATCACTCTGTCATCAAACAAAATGCAAAAAGCCTTGGTTTCACCTCAAATGAGGAAAGTTGTCTGCCATAACCTGGAATCCCAGGAACTACTCTGAAAACCCTCACTCTTGACATCATAACTCTCATAAATGTCCCCAGATGATCGTCTAATTTGCAAAGAAACATATAAAAAATGATCATGTTCCAGTCAAAGGAATGTAACTGACATCCTTGAAATTCAGATTCAAAATTTGAGACTCAGATGGTTATAGAACCAAAAAATTGGCTTCAAATTTGTCTTTTTAGAAGTCAGATAATTTCAAAAGAGGGTGGCTTAGTAGTTAGATGTCTGATGACAATACCAAAAGATCGACTCTCTTAGGCTTGGCCCTGGTTCTGATTTTGGTCAAGAAAGCATTGAAACTAAAAAGAAGCTATGGTTAAAAAAAAATTATAACAATGTGAAACAAGAAAAATTTAGAATTTTAGTAGAGGCCATAGGAATAATTTACTCAACCTCTTTCCCTATGCTCTAAGTGAATACATATCTTCATGATATTGCTTCGACCAATACATACCATCCATACACATTACTCCCCTGATCCAAAGTCTTTTCTCATCATTTCAAGTGGGGATCGGATCAATGATCACATACTTTCACCAAAAAATGTAGCACATTGCACAAAATCAATTCTCCTGATACATCAAACTACCACAATCTCAACTAAATGAAAGCAATCAGAACAGTAAGGTCTGGGCTTTTTTCCACCGACCAAAGTTTCATACGAATCAATAGCTGAAATCGTTAAGAGTTTTTGCTTGATGAATATAACTTCCAAAAACATGAAATACTATATACTGAATTAATCGTCACCACGTAGTGGTGCTCACCAGTTTGTCCAAGAATAGCATCACCAGTGGTGCTCCCCAAATAAGGACAATCTGTGTAGAAACAGATGGCAGCACGTCGAGACCAAAGCTACATCAACTAAAATCCAAACTCTCATCCAAGAAAATCTACCGATAACCAAGAGGGAAAACGTCCACTGCCAGTAAATAAAATTAAAGAAACCCAAGGCAAGAAACAATTTTTATCCTTTCCTCTGCAATACAAACGAAAGAAACCAAATAAAATATAATCATATACTACGCATTTACCCAAAAAAAAGAGATCAAGTGCAAGACAGATCGATCAAGAAATCGGTGAAGGAAAGACAGTATAGCGTCATAGTAATGAAGAAAATAAGAAAAGATTATTAATTGATGGAAAGAAATAGGATAGATACATTTCGCATCGAAGATGGAAAAAGAGAACCATAAAGGTCCATAAGCGCAATCCCCGCAATGAAAGGGGAAAGAATAAGACCCACAACTCAAGTCACAAGACAAACATCCATAAAAAGCCCAACAATCAAGATGAGAGTAGCCTACGACCAACCTACGAGACAATCGATGAAGCAATTAAAGAAAGAAAGAGATGAGATTAGAGAGAGACCTTTCGGGACATAGACGTTGCGCTTCAAGTAGTAGATATAGAAGCACCACAAAAAACCGGAGACGAAGTAGAGGGTGGTTGCGCCGATGTAATTACGCAGCCACGACTGGAGCGGCCGCGGGAGGCGCCTCCAGGCAACGCCCGGCAACAGCCCGTCGAGCACGATCCCGTTGTACCAGTCCGTCTCCTCCACGAACTGGTGGAGATACTCTGCGCCACACCCCGCCATCGTCGCCTCCGGTCGCAGGACGCCGATTCCGAAGGTAAGGGGAGATGAATCGCTGCGGTGACGTCCGACCACCACCTCCACCTCTCGGGGTTTATACAGTTATCGCCGACTTCAAAATCTCCGCTTCGGACACACTCGCAGAATACCACGTTCGCTTATAACAGATTTGAAATCAGACCCGCAACCCGATATGATTGTGAATTTGAACCCGGTCCGAAAGCTTAATGTGTTCGATTCGGGTCAAATCGAAGATAAACCGGTCCGTGGAAACCCGTGTCATGGAGTGGGGCGTGTAACGGACCGGGTCGCATCGCCATGCGGTGTGCGGCACTACGAACACACAGCGAAGTCTTTGTTATTCCTACCCGTATCGGACGACCCAGTGGCGACAGGCGTGTATCTTAATAATTGGGGTGGTGGTAACAATATCAGCAGATTATTCTGTACATCACATTCCCCGGCCCCTCTGCAATATCCGGAAACGTCAATCAACTTATGTTCGGCGGGGCCCATCGAATGGAAGCCAGGCCATCGATGGTGTCGATATGAGTAATCTAAAGGAGTGAGAAAGAAGTATATATAGTCGTAATCTTGATGCGTTGAGATTTAAATACGCTGTCGGGTTCTGATTGGGGCACGAATCGTAAGGCTGGGAGAACAAAACTGTGTGCCGTTCCTGTGGATGAGATTGCCCGCGATATGGTAGAGATCGGGGTCTGCACTCCGCACTGTGGGTCGTGGGTCGGTAAATGGGTTGGATCAATCCGACCCGGTATGATTATGATCCGCTGACCCGATCGATCACTCTTTGTTGGCAAGGGGAGATCCCTGCTGACCTAAATTATGTGATCCCCTCCGATTCAACTAAAATGCTAAGAAAGAAATGAAAGAAAAATGAGGCTTCTTGCTGGTGATTTATGTTCACCTATGAGTGTTGTGACGTCAAGCAAAGCCAGTGGCTGTTGCTGTAGTCTGGAGATAAATTGCAATCTGTAAAAGGGTGTTCAAGAAAAAAACTGGTCCTTCAAAAGGTTTCAAGCTTTGCTTGGGAAGATGAATTTTTCACAAGTCAAGTCTGTGTTCACTGGATATTACAAGTAATAGTGGAATGAAGAAAACCTCATGGGATAAGACTGCTAAGCAAGAGAAAAAGAAAAGCAAAATGCAATGCCTGAACATGACTTCACTAGCATACAATCAATATACACATCAAAAAACATTTGGTTCCATAGATACAGTTGGACTCTTTTGTACTTTCTCGAGCTTGGCGATAACCTCGTGCAGCTCAGAACATAGCCTTGACACTTGAGGATCACTCCAGTAGGCACCGACCCTCTCCATAAGTAACTTACAAGGGTGACGATCATCACAAGGCGGCAGCTCTCGGGGCAGTCTAGGAACAAGAAATGGGTGCTGAAGCAGCTGAGGTATCCGCCATCTTTCATTGCGGTCCCATGCTAGACATCTCCGCATGATATCAACAAGCCAAGGATTGGAGACCGGCTCATACGTGATCTCGTGGTTCCTGTCTGTAACAACCTTGAACTTGGCCCAGAATGTCTTGTATTCTGCAAACGGTGTCTTGCCATAGACCATCTGGTAGAGAATGCAGCCAAGAGACCAGATGTCAGATGGGCGACCACATTTTATGATGTTTCCATTTTCATCAGGCTCATTGCACATGAAAGCTTCTGGGGACATGTAGTTCAGTGTTCCAACCTGCAGAGTAAGACCAATTATTAGCAATGCTACTTGCCATCCTGACCTCTCTCGGCATACCATGAAAAATACCACTGATGAAAATAGCCAGGGCTAGAATTCTTTTAAACCTGTGCATCTCGCTGTATGTTTGTTGTATCGCTCATTATAGCTTTGGCAATGCCAAAGTCAATAAGTTTAAGTGATCCCCTGACCAGTAGAAAGTTGGCAGGCTTCAGGTCAGAGTGCACGATACGCTCCTCATGTATGGTACTAACAGCTTCAAGCATTTGCTGTAAATCGTGAGATGTTAATTTTCTGAGAGTAAAATATAACACGCTGTTGGTTGATGGCACCAACTAGCTGAGACAGCCCGAGACAAATAACCGACTTCCACCAACATGAGTCCACATTTGGTACCCATGGAATCTCCTTTAGAAATTGTGCATCAAACAAAGCAAGAAACTCAGGAAAATCTATATGAAGCAACTCTACAACCTATGACTGTACTTGCTTATTTTCCAGACTTAACTTATTTTCATTTTCCTGAGTTCTGAAAGCTGTTCAACTGGACAGATGAGAAGAAATGATTACACTGATCAAACATGATACTATCTATGCGATGAGTGGGAAAGGAAAAATAAATCACTATAAGAACCCAAACTACCTAGCAAATTAAGAGGAAAATAGGATGTCAAACTGAAAAGGGGATGACGCAGAAAACAATTTTATAAACAAAAATTTAAACTTAGGCCCAAGAAAAACCAATATGGCTTTGAAGTATTTAACAATTTTCTGTGTAACTCAATTTTTACCTTCAGGAGCTTATATTCGATCAATTACAACTTGATTATATTGCTAACAACAAAAGCAATGGTGAGATCTTGTTTTTTTGGATATTTTATTCACCTAAATATAGATTCCTGTACTGCTTAACCACTAATGGAGCCATTATCATTTGAGGTTTCAGGCACAGACACCTGATGAGCATTAGTGCACCAAAAGTTTAAAACAATTTAGCTAATCAAGGGAAAATGATGAAGTACCTGCCAGTAAAATCGTAGCCAATTCTCATCTATTTTCCAACCTGAAGCACTCATCTCCTTCCACTTCTGTGCAAGCATGTGAGCTAGATCTATTTCTCCATACTCGAGCACCATGTAGATGCACTCATCATCCTTGATCCTTTTCTCCTTTATATTCATAGAACCATTCACAACTTCTTGAAACAAAGTTTTATCTGTTACCTACAAAACAATCTCAGCAAGCATTTATGGTAAGTTAAAGCTGACAGTGATGACAGTCCAGATAATACGTAAAAACCTTTATTTTCATCCTTAATGGAACATTAGGAGAAAATAATTCAGTTATAAGGATTGCCATGTTGACTGGCATGTTATAGGCTGGGCTAACCAATTTATCACACGGCCAGACCAATTTTTGGCCTGTCAAGGATAGCACAGCAAGGTAGTACTCTGACAGAAAAGCTTTGGCACACCTCTGTGCCACAAAACAACAATCGCTGAAGTCATCTAAAGAAGAAACTTAATTTTGCTTGCTTTCTCATCATCTATTACTTTTTTGATTTGAGGCTTAAATTATAAACTGGAAGAAAAAATATCATGTTGTAACAGCCAGTCTCGACAAACAGATAAAAAAGGCAAGGACAGCAATTTGGCTAATTATTGACGGGTATGGTTTAAATCAAAATTTGTAAAAAAGATGGGAGATTCTTGCAACAAGTAAAAGATATATATTCTAAGCAAATACTAGAAAATAGGATCAGAATTCATCTGCTTCCTTTAAAAAATATTTCTAGAGTTAGACATTACTTGAATACATAAGAGAAGTATTGGTTTTCTGTTTTATATTTAATCTTTTATCTATAAAGAAATTGGTCATCACTGCTTTACTTTTAACAATAACATGGGAGTGTCATTTATTGGAGAATATATGCTGAAATCCCATAGGTCTAATATCCAATGTGCACTAGTTTCCAGTTTGTTTCTAAAATATTTGCAAGTAAAAAGTTTTGCCTTCCAAAAATAAAAATATTTCTCAACGTAGTTTTTCTTAGAAAATATTAAAGAACAATAGCAATGTTCAGTCAAACATGTTTAGTTTCTCAATTCTCAAGTTTTCTTTTAAAGCAGAAAATACCAAAACAAAAAAAAAAGCAGCACCAAACAGAATGTTGGCAATCCTATCAAAATTAGACAAAAACAAGAGCCCAAAGCAAGCTCATACATATATCAGCAAATCTGACACTTGAAGATACATTGATAGATTGAAATTTGAATAATAGCAGTTAGTGAATTCTGTCCAGGTTACCTTTGCTCTCAAGAGTTGCCACCATTATAAGTTGGCAAATAGTTATTTGTCAGAATAAACTCATTCGGAGCTTTAAATTCTAGGTGGGTGGTTTATTTTCTTGTCCATTTATAAAGTTTTAGTCAACTATGAAACCCAACTCAACCAACTTGGACGGAACCCTATCATTGAAAAATCATGGCCCATATGTAATTATACAGATATGAATTATGATCAAGAGAGAGGCCTCCCAAAATGTCTCAAGACAAATGATAATGAATAATGTAAATGAATTCAAGCATCAAATCCTGAGAAAGAAACATTTGAATCTACAATGTACAGCACAACCATATGTTGCCCAAATGATACATTAAGTCATTTATAACTGTGCAGCCTTGACTTAAGTAGAAATAATCTTGCTGTTTGAAAGTATGAATCATTATGTAGAGAAAGTAATTTTTTTTTAAATCATATATATATATATATATACATACATACATAATTTTGCAAGTTTTTACCTCATAATCAATAAGTTGAATGATGTTGCTCTTTCCCTTTAACTTCTTCAAATATTCGATTTCTTGACAAAATCCATAGGCAGTGGGATAGTCACGTCCTTTAAGCTTTATCTTCTTCAGGGCATGTATAGTACAATCTGATGATATCACTTTGTGAACTTCACTACTTCCTCCACTTCCTATCTTACCAAGCTTTTGATAAAGCTTCCCATTAACCTTGAAGAAAACATTTGGATCATACTTCTTTTTACGAAGAGACTTCTCAACTTTGTTCGACTGAGAAGGCCCAACATCGATATTTGAAGATGGGGGGTTACTTGTTGGCAGAACTTGAGATGGCAAACAAATGGCATCACCACAAGCCCCCTTATCCTTGACATTTTCAGCCAAATGAAGATTCTGTTGATGATCAAGATGCCAATCACAGCCATTCTTGACAACCCCTTGTTCTTCTGGAGGAGTATGATCCTTGGCAACTGATGGCAACTCTCCTGCAGATGAAGACACTTGAGTTGGAAAGGCAGTTTGCCCAGCAGGCTGAGCGTGCATGGACTGAATCGTTGGACCTGTGTGAACCGACAATGTGGTGACACATGAAGAGCCCACAGCTGAACATCGGGTCATTGGTTCCACATAACACTGATTATGCTTTGGATCTTTAGTATTCTCTAACAAGCTGGAGCCTCCAAACTTCATGTCAGTCCCAAACACTTCCATGTTCCCATGATCCTGCACCTTTAAATCCTGATCATTTGTGCCCACCTGAGTTCCCAAGTACTCCATCTCTGCCATTGCAAGCGAATGCAAGTAAGGACAATTGTTGTCCATTTCACTACGAGCAGTGATGCATGTACTTAATAAGCAAAAAAATGAGAAACGAACTAGGCATGAAATGTATATACTCGACTACAACTCCATCAAACATAGTCATGTGTGTCAGTCAGCAGTATCAGTTTCAAAATTTTCACTTACTCTGAAAAGCTAAATTTTCCTTCTTCGTATCATTGTTTGTTAATGCATGTGAAGATGCCACTTGAGATGACGAAACTGCTGCCAAAGATGACTTTTCTCCATCAGACAGCAAGTCAGAATCACCATTCTGCAAGCCAAAAGGGCTCGCTTTATCATTCCCAGCATTAGTTGAAGTCCCAGTAACAGAAGGAGGCGTGAGCGAGGCATCATCAGCCGGACCAGCCATTACACCTGCATCTTTTTCTCCCTGATCTCTTGCCACTCTCCTGGCTCCAACAACCGCTCCAGATAGCGGCACAACCTTTCCAGCCACAGTCGCAGTTACAGAAGACATTGAAGTAACGTTCTTCGATGACTCAGTTTGAGGAACCAAGACACGAGTCGCCCGACGCATGTTAGACTGCATACCACCTGTAAACCAAGAAACAAAACCAGAAACCAAGACATCATCAGGTCCAGAACTCGAAACCCTAACTTTCTCATTACGGCAGCGAAACCACTTCAATGCTTTCACAAAGAAGAAGCATGTAACACACTGGATCTAACATAAAGCAACTGTCCTTGACAAATTCTTAGTAAATCACCCATCAATTTCATCAGAAGCTACGAAATGAAGCTAGGGCAGAGGAAATAGAAGAAGAAGAAGGGGAAGTGAAACTAACCGAGAGGTCTGTGGCGCTTGAACACAGCATGGGCTTGGCGAAGGAAGTCGGGGGGAGAGAAAGAGGAGGAGGAAGAAGAAGAAGAAGAGGAGGTGAGGTTAGCGTCGCCAGCAATGGGCCGGGTCGGGTAGATCGAAGCCGGAGGCGGCGGAAGGTTAGCCTTCCGGTCCATGGGCGGCGGATCCCAACGGCATCTCGCCGAGGGCCGGAGGAGGCTACCAGGCGGTGGCGTGGAGGTGCATAGTAGCGAAGGGATCGGTCCGCCAACACTGGTCGCCGCCCTCCAATGGCAACGCCTCCAACTGTGGAAGGGGAGGAGCGAAGTGGACGCAAGGGGCAAGTGTTCAAAAATGGACGGAATGCCGCTCTTCTGCTCGTCCTAATAACCCTTTATGTTATGTACGCTTCAAGATTCGTGCGAAAAGATTTCATTTGGAGAGAACTTATTTGGTCCATCAATTACACCAAAAAAAAAATCAATTTTAATTTATATTTATATTTTAAGTTTCAATTTTAATAATTTTTAATTTTAATAATAATATCCTAATTATGTAAGATCGACTACATGTATAAATTGTGACATTAGTAATATTCTTATTTAAACTAAAAATATTTATATTTATATTTTTTAGTAAAATTTATTAAACTTTTTCTATTTCTTCTTATATCATGAATTATTTCCTCTTTCCTTAGTAACTCATCCAGCTCAGCATTTTCATTTCAACTATATAACTATTTTTGTATATGCTATATTTTAAACAAAACTAAAAAAATTATAAAAACAATTTTTATATAGAGATTTTTCACTCAAAATTAAATGAATCTGAAATGAAGAAATGAGTAGCAATAATGTCCAAAATTAATGGAAGAATTGTTTTGCAGGCTTTTTCAGTTACTGTAGCTCCAGGGTTTCAACCTAAAAATGACAGCAGAGGTGTATACCCCACAGTTCATTTGCCATGGTTGTCTCTGTTACAAGCTGTATCATCCAGTAGCACAAACAGTATGTTCAGATGGAAAATAGGAAAAAACTCAGAAGAGATGTTCCACAAAAATTCATGCTTTTATCCTTTCAGGCAAAATGTTTTGTGTTCATCATATATATAATGGTACACCTACATGACAGCAGCACTATAAACCATAATTCATTTACATGGGAATGTACCATAAATTACAATAACATACAAATGGAAAGTTCCATAATCTAACAAATTCATAGTTATCTCCAGACACTGAGTAAATTATAACATACAAATGGCAAGTATCTAACAACTTTATAGTCATCTCTGGTCACTGAATTCATTGGTACCATTTATAGCTGAGGCACTCCTATGGTTGGCTCCTTGATTAGCTAACCAGGAATGTGACAGTAGGCACTGTGCAATTCCCAGCAGCTTGAGGTTTTTCTCTTATACCCTTTGATAGACACATCTTGCTTTACCTGCTAAAACCGACAGCACCGTCCTCGTGGATGTTGTCTTAATCACTGGCAGAAAGTTTGTATGAAACTTCAGCATGGGCTTCCTCCAGCTTGTGTAGCAACTCCTTCATGAAGGGCGTTCGGGTCCCATGAGTAATTCGGAGTATATCTGCTGCTTTGATGAATGATTTAAGAGCATCCTCAGTGAATTCAAGTAGCCTAAAAAGAGAAATTTGAGATATTAACACTTGACTGATGCAACATAAAAAACTGTTGGCACACAAAAGAGGCTAATTGTTTAGAAATCATTTTAAGTTTGTCCTCAGTTGCCAGAATACAATGTAGTCTGGGTTGGTTGAGTTTATAAGTCATGTAGATGGAGTATTGGCATAATTGAGAGTTCCATTTTCAGAAGTATGAAAACAACAGTATCAAATCAATGGTGAAAATCAAAATCCTTTTTTTACATCGGTTTGGATGATCAAAATGAAAACATACAGGTGTCAACTTGAGTGAGGACAATAATGATTTGCTAGATCTTGGGAAGGGGTGGTCAACAAAAATTCTTTGCATGAAACAATGAAATTGGATATGTTTTAAAGTGCAGAATAAAAAATAATCATGTAACCATGATAATATAAAACTCTGTCACATACCATATGGTGTTGCAGTAAATTACACGGGTAATTTCCATGACATTGATGTTCCACTGCTTAGCCATTTTTTTACAAGAAAAACAACCACATCTTTTATATTTTCAGAGAGAATTGGAGTTACTTCTGGAAGATTATTGCCTCGTGAAGATACAACTGTTGAACTATACCCAAAGCACAATCAATGGGAACATGAAATCCTATTGTAAATTTATGTAGCAAGTGCATTGGCAGAAGATGGAATTTTTATGTAAGGTACAATTTTATCCAAAATCTAAAATCAAAGACCAACCACTGTAATAAGCTATTTGTCCTATTCCAGGTAACAAAGAATTCTTAGAACTACTGAAGATTTTGAGCATTTTTAAGTTAATTTATAGTTCATAGAGCATAGTAGGGAAAAAAACTTAATACTGTGTCTTAAAGCAATTATTAAAATACAAACACAACCAGCTGGCAATATCTCTTATGGAGCACCATAGTCCAGACCTAGAATGTAATCCAACCTTCATCAAACTGGCTTGTTTACTAGGTAAAGCAAAATTTTAATGTGGATCTTAAAATCTTAACATTTTCAGAAATATGCCTAAAGTAAATCAACGGACCATTGCTAAGTCTTCAAAAAAGGTTGCAAAGATAAGTATCTTTAACATACTAGTGTTGATTTCTTCAATGTATCATGAGTTTCCCCCTGATAGTGCCTGCCATATCACAGCAACTTAGGGCACACTGCCCAGTGTTCATATTACTACCAAATCAAAATTAAATTAAAAGTTATATGTTATGCTTCAATGCTGATTTGCTTGGAGAAGTGAATGACAGATTCCGAAGATGTAAGGAACCATCATAGCTATACAAACCATTGTCAGGTAAAAAAAGGAAAATTAGTTTGCTGACCATTCAAGTTTCCCGCAAGCGTAATATTGCAGACCAAGCATAGGATGAGTAGCGGGATATATTCCTGCAGCATTGAGGAAAAACTTCATCAACAAAACTTCCACATACACTCTGTTATCATTTATTGAAAAAATGCCCATTGAAATCAAGAATGGACCAAAGCAACGTGGTAAATGTTCATATGCATCATGTTTTGATAGAAAGATTAATCTATTTGACCAAACTGAACTGAAATTGCCCAAACTTTCAGAAGTTTTAGCCAACTTTTTCTCAGTTTTGGTGGCTTTGACCGACACCAATTCATTTGAAATTTAACTTATTTCCATGGTATATAAGATACATGTGACTCTACATATCATCTTGAGCACAATGAAACAAAACTTTGAGACAACAAACAACTTAAGTGTCATAAAAAACATAAAATGAAGCAATGTCTACCAATAAAATATATTCTTAGTTTGGTGCTGTTGAGAAAGATAAAATTTCCATACTTCTATATGTGGGAATTGTCAAGCGGCAATATGTTAAGGCGCCTTTCCAATCTTTTAGCTCCATCAAAACCTTTAAAAGCACCAGCAATCAGTTATGACTGCATTCAGTCAAATGAGCATCAAAAATATGGTGTTGCATCTATTAGTAATACTTTGCAAAATCTGAAGCAAGCAATCAGTCACATAATGGAAATTACTTTATATTCTAAGGAGAAATAAGCTTGACATAAAGGGCATAAAATACATATTGCCAAAAAATATAACACTTCACCTTCATGAGAGTTTCACGGGTTTGCAACAAACTAAGAGAATATTGATGGCAGAGTTTAAGTTGGAGCTGCTCAACTATCTTGTACATAGTGCTGCCTTCAGATAAATCTATTTCTTGTCAAGCTTCTAGAAGTGACTCAGTGGATTACAATGACCAAAAATTGACAAATATAACCAATGTTATAAGTGAGACAGTCCAAGTGATTATTACATGGTATGCATCATGTAATTATTGAATTCAGGATTAAAGGTAGTGTCTGCCTAATCAGCAAACTTTCAAAACGCAGGATACGGCCAGAGGACAGACAGTTAGATGCCTTTCCTAAGACTTGTGCAATTTCACAAGCAATCTTTTTTATCTCTTGCTGATCCCTGGAGAGACCACACTGCTGGCATGTGAAAGACTGTTTTCCTGTATAGAATATTACAATGAGTGACGTTGTAAACAAAACAAGTGAATGTAGATGAAACCAACATTTTATCGTCCTAGTAGTTTAAGAAGGTAGCGTGTTGACATACCTGAGTCAGGTATCAGGAAGCCACTGCACTTCTTGTCCTTACATCCGTAACCTTCCAGAGTGGCAGTTTCCTCGAGCTCCTCGTATGGGTTCTTAAAAAAATGGCAGCAAGATCAGGTATAACTAATTGAACTAGGTTTGATTATAAAAGGAACTAACTGAACTTGATGGAGAGTTAAATCTTCAAAATTAAAAAGAGATGGCAGGCATCTTCAGAGAACTGAAATACTAGCTAAAAAACCTTGGTGCAACGAGAACATGTGCAGACAAAAAAATACTGCTTGAGATCTTTCTGCCTGGTCTCAGTGGTTGCTGCAGTTTCTATGTAACTTATCAAGATCTGTCAACCAACAAACAGAATAAAAAAAATAATGTCATATCTAGCAACACAGATGGATAATTGCCAAGTTAAATATGAAAATCAAAATTCAAAGCTTGAATTTGAACAAAGGTGGATAGGTTTTACCTCAGTACCTTTAGCTATAGGCTCCATTGCACGCACAAAAGCAACCCGATTTTCAAACACCAAAACCGAATTGGGAACACAACTGGAATTTCAAATACTCTCATGGCAAATTTAGTTGATTGACTCAGACACAAGTAAGAAAAAGGAAGACTTGTAAGAAAAAGGAAAAGAAGTTTTGTTTGAGATATTAACCTGTGGTTAATGATGGAAATTACAGGATATAATCCAGTTCCCAGGGGTCTAAGTTCACCATCACAGATTGTATGAGCATTGCATGAGAGCTGCATCACATATGTTGATCACTAGCAACACTATGCAGAAATCTAACATAAAAATAAAAAATCTATACAAATGAATTTAAATTATGTTAGTATATTCATAAAAGAACACGGAAAATATACTATAATTTTTTGAATTTACCTTAGAAAAATTATGTGCAGTCTCCTTCAAATCAATCATCAACGAAGGAAGTACCAAGTTGACGAGGTTAGCCATCTGTGCATAAAGCACCAGCTGTTTCTCATCTATCTCAGAGATATCTTGGCACATACACTTTATCAATCAAACAAATGTGCAAAGGAATCTGATATCAAAAAATATCTTGATTACTAAATGATGAAAATAAATCGGGATACGAGATT